TCGGGAATTCTGGGAAATGTCGTTCCAGCTCATTTAAAAGCCATCAGGAAATGATAAAATTGCAGGGTGCTCCTAATTTCCTGTCATGCTGCCTGGTTCTTAACTCCAAGTATGATGGCCAGTTAAAGTTAAATTACTGGCCTCCCAAAATATTTTGCAAGCTTGTGGTTTGCTGATAATTAACGTGTACTGTTCGTGCCTCTGGCATGACAGATGTTAAGCCTTGAAGTGGGGGCTACCTTGTGACTTTAAAATGTAATTTTGGCGTCAGCTCTAGAGCCACCAAGTCCATAATCTTGTTGCTTTGTCGTCGTCTTCTCAGTTGTGTCTGCCAAGAACATGTTTTTTTTAAAAAAAAACCAAAGTGATCGTTGGAACGCAAGCTAAATAATGGTACACTAATGGCCATCCCAGTCTGGAGATCCGTGTTAAAGGAGTAGAAGAATAGTGGTAACTATCATTCCTAGTGATTAGGAAGCGTCCTCTTATCAACTAGTCCAGGGATAGGCAACTTTGGCTCTTTTATGACTGGTGGACTTCAACTCCCAGAATTCCTGAGCCAGCCATGCTGTGGGGAAAGGGAGAGGTTTTCATGCTGAGCCATGCTGGCTCAGGAATTCTGGGAGTTGAAGTCCACAAGTCATAAAAGAGCCAAGGTTGCCTACCCCTATGCTAGCCAGAAGGGATAAAGAGACGGGCCTTATAAAATAATCGCCAAGGGTGGAGAACGGTTCATAAGGGAGCCATCATGCAGATGGATTTATCTGAATTCCCTTCCCCTGTGACTAGAGGCTCTGCTCTATACGCAACTTTCCACGTTTCCTTTGTTATACGGATCGTACTAATGTTAATAATATTATTTATTATTATTTAACAGAGTAACTGAGTTGGAACGGACTTTGGAGGTCCTCTAGTCCAAGCCCCTGCTGAAACAGGAAAGCCTATATACCATTACCATTTAATAAATAAAAACTCATGTTGAAAGGAATGTTACCCAGGGCCTATGCCTGCCCTTGAGTGTTACGCTGATTATTCCAGATTGAAGCCTGAAATTTGCTCTATGCCCCATGAGAATCCACCTACTATGTTAGTTAAACATGGATGTTCTAAAATTCTTTTTCTTTCTTTCTCTCTCTCTCTTTCTTTTTCTCTCACTTTCTTTCTTTTCTTCCTTTCTTCCTACCTCTCTCCCTCTTTCTCTTTCTTTCTTTCTCTTTCTTTCTTTCTTTCTTTCTCTCTCTTTTTCTTTTCATTCTTTCTCTTTTTTCCTTCCTTCCTTCCTACCTCTCCCTCCCTCCCTTTCTTTCTTTCTTTCTTTCTTTCTTTCTTTCTTTCTTTCTTTCTTTCTTTCTTTCTTTCTTTTTCTTTCTTTGTCTCTCTCATTCTTTTTGTTGTCTTTCTCTTTCTTTCTTCCTTCCTTCCTTCCTTCCTTCCTTCCTTCCTTCCTTCCTTCCTTCCTTCCTTCCTTCCTTCCTTCCTTTCCTTCCTTTCACTTCCTGTAGTTACTGAATTATTTTTTTAGGTGGAATAGACTAGAATCCTTCCTCCCCCCTCCCTCTTACGTTTCATGCAATAACTGTCAGGGCGATCAAACATGTTATTTCTGAACTCTTGGTTCACCAAGGTCTCTTGCAAGTAGCTTGTTTACTCTGGGTAAACTGTTTTAGCAAGACAGCAGGGATGGTGAGACAGACAGCTGAAGTCAGGGGAAAAAGGGTCCATGATTACACCTTTTCCTTCAAAACAGAGAGCAACCAGGTTGGGGAAGGGGGGGTCGCAGAAGGAGCACTGAAAAAGATAAGATTCCCTTTGCTTATGCTTTTTCTCTCTGTGGCTTGTACCCCAGCCCTGCTCTGCCCTGTGTTTACCAGACAGCAAATATCTTCTGTTTTTGGCTTAAAGTGAGTGTTTCCATTGCTCAGAATGCTGGCCGGCTATTTTTAAAGAACACAGGGTTTATTTCTCTCAATTTCTTTCAATGTATACGCGCTCATCTCAAAATCCTGACTCTGCCAGTGAATGAGAGTTAAAATCATCGTAAGCAACCACACCATAATAAAATACCTAACTGGCAGCTGAGATTAAAATCCCCGGAGCGTCAAAAGCACCTTGCCCTAGAAATCCATTTTTGAATAAACGAATTCTTTGGTAGGAAATGTCTTTTCCTTCGCTACTTCTTGTTCAGGTTTTCACATTTATCTTTTTTTTTTTTAATGAGGTACTTCTCCTTTACTTGTCTTTTTCCCCAGTTTTAGCAGCACCTGGAAACCTTGAGAAATGTTTAATTTTAGAGGACTGCCCTAGAAATGCAGGTGTTATTGGTGACTTAAGATTTGTGAGGGCCTATTTCAAATTTGAAAGTCCTAATCAAAGTGTTGCAATCAACCAGCCGAGAAAGTAAGCATACAGAAATCAACCCCTTAACTATCAACTCTTCTTATCTCTTGGGCATATAGTTCATCTATTGTAATGTCTCTGGTTGGGCAGCTTTAATTAACTATAAATAAAGCAGACTTTTGTTTTGATTTTGAGCTTCCTCGTTGCGCAACGCTGCGATATGGCTGGTTAGAGTTTTTGGCTTTGCCCAACTGCAGTTTATTCAGAAGAAGAAATAAGCGCTTAGTACAAATTGTTCTGGCTTTGGATGGTGTTTCAATCTGATAGCTTTTATTTGTGAAGCTTTTTAAGCGTACTCTTTCCCATCATCCCAGCAGGTGTATGGAACCTGTTTCAAACTGGGGTTTTGAACTTGAAAGGCAGGATTTTGGCAAGCCATCATCATGCTCAAGAAAAGAGAAGCAGTTAGGTCTAGTGCAGGGATAGGCAAACCTTGGCCCTTTTATGACTCGTGGACTTCAACTCCCAGAATTCCTGAGCCAGCATGGCTCAGCATGGAAACCTCTCCCTTTCCCCTCAGCATGGCTGGCTCAGGAATTCTGGGAGTTGAAGTCCATGAGTCATAAAAGAGCCAAGGTTGCCTGCCCCCGGCCTAGTGATTAAGGCACCAGGTTAGAAGCCAGGAGAATGGGACTTCTAGTTCTGTGTTAGGCATCAAAGCTGCCTCGATGTCTTTGGACCAATCGCTAGGAGACGATGTGTTCTAGTCCCGCCTTGAAAGACGTGAAAGCCAATAGTAAGTTACCACTCCCTGGTTCTGGAAAGTTCTTTGACCTCTCATCCTAGATAACATCTGAAATCTTGCCTGTGGAGATTCTCAGTCATCCAGATCAGGGTTGTCCCAAAAGTGCTTTTTCAAAAGGCAACTGGACTTTCTTCGTTTTTCCTTGAAGACGCTTCGCTTCTCATCCAAGAAGCTTCTTCAGTTCTTGGATGAACTTCTTGGATGAGAAGCGAAAGGTCTTCAAGGGAAAACAAAGGAAGTCCAGTTGCCGTTTGTAAAAAGCACCTTTGGGACATCTGAACGTCTGAAGATATTACCTAGTTGGGTAATGAAACGTCTGCAAGAAAACCCAAGCTCAGAGAGTACCAAGAACCCCACAGTTCAACTCTGAACTACAAATAATAATAATAATAATAATAATAATAATAATAATAATAATAATAGTAATAGTAATAGTAATAGTAATAGTAATAGTAATAGTAATAGTAATAGTAATAATAGTAATAATAAAGTTGGAAGGGACCTTGGAGGTCATCTAGTCCAACCTCCTGCTCAGGCAGGAAACCTTATACCATTTGTCTTCTCCAAAGCACCTGAAAGCAGGACAAGAAGCAACGGATGGAAACTAATCATGGAGAGAACTAACCTAAAAATTTCCTGAAGCAAGAACAATTAATCAGTGGAATGCCTTATCTGCAGACGTTGTGGCTGCTCCAACACTGGAAGTGTTTAAGAAGAGATTGGGCAACCATTTCTTTGAAATGGGTATAGGGTTTCCTGCCTGAGCAGGAGGTTGGTCTAGATTCTAGAAGACCTCCGAGGTCCCTTCCAACTCTGAAGGCACGCTGGCTGAGGAATTCTGAGAGTTGAAGTCCACCAGTCATAAAAGGGCCAAGTTTGAAGCCCCCCTTGATTTGTGGACTTCAACTCCCAGAATTCCTCAGCCAGCGTGCCTGGCTGAGGAATTCTGGGAGTTGAAGTCCACAAGTCATAAAAGGGCCAAGTTTGAAGACCCCTGTCTTAAATCTAACAAACAAAATGGAGGCTGGCTGAGGAATTCTGGGAGTTGAAGTCCACAAGTCATAAAAGGGCCAAGTTCGAAGACCCCCTGCCCTAAGGTGTTAGCCAATTCTTATGTTACAAACCTACAAATGTAGGCTAAGCAACACCATCTACAAAAGAACAGTTCCTAAAGTCAAGACGATGATCACAGCTGCACAACTAGAAGACCATCGTGTGATTGTGACCAACATTTTTGGCTGTTTTGACCCCATCCCTGGAAGACACCTTGGTGTTAACCCCTCTCTCTTCCAACTTGTATCTTGATTGTGACATGCCATTGTTCTCCAGTCTGTAATAAACCAAATTACAAACTACAAATTATTGAAACTTGGTCATTAGTTCCCCTGTCTGCTGCTTTGCTGTCAGGAAGCTTAAACCAATCTTTTCCTTTCCGTAATTTACTCCATCTCTGCATTCTGAGCAAGTTATGAAATTAATAAGTTTATAATATTCATTGAATGCTTCAAGCATCTATTGAGGTAAATAGAGCATTACTAATAAACAGTGTTGTTGGTTGAATCTGAATGTCTGCAGAGCACAATTGTTAACAATATCTCTGTCTGTTATTTGATATATATGTCTGTGAGTTAAATCAGATGAAGGAGCATCCAGAGGGGAAGGAAATACAGTTTGTTGATCTGTATGACTCACAATACTCTATTAAAATCATTCCTAATTTCATTTCAGAACAATACGAGAGTTTTGTTTTCAATTTAATGACCTTTCTCTCCTCTTCCTTCTCTCCTTTTTCTTTTTTTTTCTTTCTTTCTTTTTTGCAGAACGGCTGGGAGAGGAAAAATATTGAAAATCTCTGCTTGAGATTCGTAAGTGCTCCACATCGTATGAGAAAGAGACTTCCTGACAAAAAAAAGGACACATTTCCTAGGTGGGATGCCAAGAAACATGGTGTCAGACTTCTCAGGGATGGGCTATGAAATTCCTTCTGAGGTCCAGTTTGGAAACTTTGAAAAAACACATCATCTTGAGAGTGGGAAAAGTTGCCCAGGTCGAAAATACCCATCTTTGGTAAGTGTCTGGAGATACAAGAATCTTGTATTGTATTGTATTGTATTGTATTGTATTGTATTGTATTGTATTGTATTGTATTATTATATTATTGTATTATATTGTATTATATTATATTATATTATATTATTATATTATTATATTATATTATATTATATTATGTTATGTTATGTTATGTTATGTTATGTTATGTTATGTTATATTAATTATATTATTATATTATATTATATTATATTATATTATATTATATTATATTATATTATATTATATTATATTATATTATATTATATTATAATACAATATAATACAATACAATATAATATATATTATACAGCTAGAATGTGTAGTTTTGGGTTGCAGTCTTGAACAAGGAATGATACCTTGTTGGTAATTTATCTTATTGGTGGCCTGCTTTGAAAAATTGTATTTTGTTATTTATTAGATTTTTTTTTTAATCCACTTTTACACCTGGGCACCTGTTAAGTAACTCAAGGCAGTATACATACACAATATCCTTCCTTCTCTTATTTTCCCATAACAGCGCTCCTCTGAATGAGTTGACTGAGAGAGTGGCCCAGTCAGTTTTCATGCAGAAGGTGGAACTAGAACTCAGAGTCTCCTGGTGATTGGCCCAAGGACAGCTGGGTGGCTTTGGGCCAATCACCAGGAGACTGTGAGTTCTGTTCCCATCTTAACCATGAAAGCTGGCTGGGTGACTGGCCCAATCATGAGGAGACAGTGACTTCTAGCGCTGCCTTAGGCATGAAAGCCAGTTGTGTGACTTGGAGATGGTCCCTCTCTCTCAGCCCAGCCTACCTCATAGGGTTGTTGTTATGGGGTAAATAGGAGGAGGAAGGAGTATTATTTATAAAGATAAAGGTAGGATACAAATGAGTGAGTGAGTGAGTGAGTGAGTGAGTGAGTATAATAATAATAATAATAATAATAATAATAATAATAATAATAATAATAATAATAATAATAATAATAATAATAAAGTTGGAAGGGATCTTGGAGGTCATCTAGTCCAACTCCCTGCTCAGGCAGGAAGCCCTATACCATTTCGGACAAATGGCTATCCAGTCTCTTCTTATGCTCCAACTTCCAGTGTTGGAGCATTCACCGCTTCTGGTGGCAGGTTGTTCCACTGGTTAATTGTTCTCACTGTCAGGAAGTTTCTCCTTAGTTCTAGGTTGCTTCTCTCCTTGATTAGTTTCCATCCGTTGCTTCTTGTCCTGCCCTCAGGCGCTTTGGAGAATAGCTTGACTCCCTCTTCTTTGGGGCAGCCCCTGAGATATTGGAACACTGAATGAATGAATGAATGAATGAATGAACGAACGAACGAACGAACGAACGAACGAACGAACGAACGAACGAGTCTTCTCCCAATCTCAAGGCCACCTGATCAAGTTTTCCAAACGATGGGAAAAGTCCTCCTTCTTAGGAGCAGCGAGATAGCTCAAAAGGAGAGAACACTCCACTTCTTGAACTACAGAAAGAGTGTGCAACAGCCTCGGAACCCTGTTTTCTGCCCCCCAAAACTTTGGATGCATTCTCAAAGCCCATCTAAATGTTGACGCTGAACTGCAATTCACTCATCGGACTAAAGGATCAAACCGTTGCAACATGAGCCATAATGCAAAAAGCAGCACAACCTGTCGCTAGCAAAGATGACGTGGCTGGAGCATCTTTGGCGTGATGTCAGATTCCACAAGGTGGAAAGGGTCTTCTACGAGAGGAATTCCGGAGGCACAGAAGCCATCCTTGTGATTCAATGTGGGGAGAAGCTGGGTTCCCAGGAGGAGCAAGAGGCAACTCAGCCCAGATATCATGTGTGTGTGAGAGAGCGGGTGAAGACAGCTCCTCCCTACTAGTTCCCAGAGTACAGGGAGTCCTTGACTTAACAACCACAACTGAGCCCAAAGTTTCTTGCTAAGGGAGACAGTTGCTAAATGAGTTTGCCCCCATTTTATGACCTCTCTTGCCACGGTGGTTAAGTGAATTC